CAGAGCTAACTAAATCTTGTGCTCAAAGGCCAGAACTCTTTTTGGGCTCTTTGTTTGTTTCTGGAATACCTACATACTCTTTTCTTCATTTAGCCCTGAATTTTTTTGTTTTTCTTCATTGTGATTTTATTTGTTCTGTTTCATATATGGCTTCTGTCACATTTGTTCCAAATCATTTAGATGAATAAAAACAGTGAAAATAATGGAATGATGTCTGACAAGCCAAAGTCACAAAAAGTGTTTCAAATACTATAAAATAGTGGCTGTACAAAGTTGGACAAATGAATAAATAGTAATAACGTGTGGGGCGCACTATGCCCATTTGATATAGGAGTGACGCTGATAAAAAAACTCCATAAACCAAATTTTTTCTTGTTACCTCTGTGAAGATGGGGATAGCTTCTGGTGGGGAGGGTAGTAGTGAACACGTTCACATCTGTCCCCTTTCTCCTTTCTCCTGCTTCATATAAAGCCTGTCAAGATGCAGAAACATAAACACTTGATTATCTGCTGAAGTGGTAACTACACAGGAATGTTAGGTCTCCTTAAAGATTTCCCAGGCAGCTGTTTAGTGCCGAATACAATCAGAGTAGGCAACACTGAGACTGCACGTCTTTTAAAGATAGGGACCTTATCTTGTTTGTCAAGTATCGTCCACACTATCTCTAAAGGGATATCTCTATCTCTTGTAAACACTAAGACAAACATGAGTTTGCAGAATAAGTGCTTGTTGAATTAAATTAATTTGCTTTAAGATTATGCTCCATATCAAGATAACTCTAAGGAACTCTCTAAAAAAGATTTTTTACTCTTTACTGTCCACAGTAACTGTTAGCAAATGGTACTTATAAATCAGTCATTCAACCATAACCTAGATCTTGCATTTTGATGTTAGAATTTCTCAATTCAAATTCTGACTCTGGGGCCGGCCCTGTGGCGCACTCGGGAGAGTGCGGCACTGGGATCACAGCAGCGCTCCCGCCGCGGGTTCAGATCCTATATAAGGATGGCTGGTGCACTCACTGGCTGAGCGCGGTGCGGGAGATACCAAGCCAAGGGTTGCGATCCCTTTACCTGTCACACACACACAAAAAAAAAGACAAAAAAAGAAAAAAAAAATTCTGACTCTGTAATTTAAATGCTGTAAAAATTTACCCTTACTACACTACTGATTTTTCTCTTTTGTAAGTGAAAAAAGCTAATCCCTGCCCTATTGTCAGGAGCACACTCTCTGTTAACTTTGAAATATTCATTACCATCCTCCTGGATCACACTAATCCATGTAGCCTCCATAAATATACATCTAAGAGCCCTGATAGTCTTAAAATGGAAAGTAAATTCAGAAATGTCACCAGCAAGTAAGAATAATTTTTTTATTGTGTGCAATTATTCAAATGCTAACTCTTATTTTTTGAGGTGCTTGCAAAATTTCTATTAAAATAATGAAACTTCCAAAGGACCTAAAAAGTTATTTTGGACTGTTCAAGCAAACTGATGTGATATGTATGCCTTTATTCAACAAACAGTTAATGAGTGCCTATTATGTGCAAAATAATGTCCTGGTATATTGAAGGAGGTGGTGGCAGATAAGTAAGTTTCTATCCTTATTGACTCATTGTGGTGAATTTATATAGTGAATACAATTCCACAAGGAAGGCATAATACAAATAGCAATTGTTTGTTTTTTTAAAACAGAAATCCAGGCTTTATTAAAATGGCACTTTTCTAATGTTGCCAACGGATTGGTACATAAATAACCAGCAATCTTTTTCTAATGTTGCCAACCAAATCCAGGCTTTATTAAAATGGCATTTTTCTAATGTTGCCAACGGATTGGTACATAAATAACCAGCAATCTCACTCTATAAAACCATATATTTGAAAGTATATAAACATGTTATTATAGTTATATTATTACATTAATCCTACAATAGTTTTACAGTAGAAACTAACATCTACAATCCATTCCAACGTTCACTGTTAAAACAATATTAGATGTGCTTACTCTTTTCACTTCCCTTAATAAAAAATTACTTTTCCCCTTTTTATACCTGGTAAAATGAAAATTCAGAGTTTTCTCAAGAAAACAATTACTTTGGAATGAAAAATCAAATTCTCATTGTGGTCTTTTAATCCTCTCGGGCTTTACGAATAATGAGGTCTATTGAAAAGTTAAAGACTACATTTGTTTCTCTTGGAAGGTGTCCCTTATTCAGGGAATGAACATTAAGGAGCCATTGACCTCTGGGAGGATCTTATATTTCCTTTCAAATGAAAGGCATCTGGTGGGAAGCCCACCTAAGGCAGGGGGAATGACTCCAGCAGCGTTTCGTAACTGCTTGCTCACCCTTGGCGTCTGTATCAGCCAAGTCTTCATTACACCAAGATCCTCACATCAGTCACCCTGAAAAAACAATCCCATTAGAGCTCTTCTGTAACATGTAATCACGTGGCTTACTTCGTTCTCTTAAAACCAGATAAATAATATTCTATGAGAAAAAAAGAGAGCCAAGGAAGTCTTGTCATTCGAGACAACATGCATAAACTTGAGGGACACTATGCTAAGTGAAATTATCCAGACACAGGAAAACAAACACTTCACAATCTCACCTATATGTGGAATCTAAAAAAAGCTGAACTTACAGAAGTAGAGCGCACAATGATGGGGGCTAAGAGGGTGGGGAGGGAGGGAAGGTACGGGGAGTTGTTGGCCAAAGGGTGCAAAGTTTCAGACACGCCAGAGAAGTAAGTGTTGAGATCTGTTGCACAGCAGGGTGATTATAGTCAATAATAATGCGTTGTGTATTTCAAAGTAACTAAGAAAGTAAATTTCAGGGCCGGCCCACTGCTACAGTGCGCCGCTTGGGAGTGCGGTGGCGCTCCCGCCGGGGATTCGGATCCTACATACAGACTGGCCGCTCACTGGCTGAGCGAGGTGCGAGCGCAACGCCGAGGGTTGCGATCCCGTTGCTGGTCCCGGTCCGGTACCGGCGTGACACTGAGGGTTGCGATCCGTTGCCGGTCAAGAAAAAAAAAAAAGACAAAAAGGAAAAAAAAAAAAAAAAAAAAAAAATTTCA